TCTCTCCACTCAATTAATGCTTCCTCTTGCTGTTATGGAAGATTGATCGGAGTACATGAATGAGTTTGAGTTGCGCCGTTGTAAATAGATTTTCGATTATCTTGACTCTTGAGAAGCTCGTTATTTGTCGAGGCTATAACACCTTTATAGATATAAAATGTAGATTATATATATCGTATCGTTGCATTAGAACGAAGTTTTAATTACTTATTAATAACAAAAAAATATTGTTTATTACAATTTGTTGTTTTGAGAAAATGATGAAAATTGAACTAATTAAAAATTAAAATATTTTCTGAGAATTTTCAGATAAGAGTGTAATTTGTGTTATTACATCAATAAAAAATAATATTTTAATAAATTCTTATTCTTCGTTATATTATAGTGTGAAAGTCAATTTCTTTCGAGTTTGACTAGCATTTGAAATGAGATGATTATTAGGACAATTGAATGTCTTGCAACTCTAGTAACATCAGTCCTTTCAGTTTCAAATCAGTCAGTTTCAAAGAGATATCTAATCATTAAATAAAAATCAATAATTAAAAAAAATTCATTATTGTTATCTTTCATTGTGTCAAAGGATATCTTAAAAATAAACTAGGTCAACACTGAACTTTATTATTCAAGACTTCGTGAGTTTTATTATAAAATTATATGCTATGATTTGAAAATAACGGAATAATATTATGATAATAAATTGATCATCTGAAATTATAGAATTAAAGAAAGTTAATTAAATACATTTGAATATATTATAACAATTACATTTTTTAAATTAGAAACCATCATGTTTAATTTATTAATATATACTTTATTAAACTATCTCCTGCAATTATGAATTTCAAGCAATTCAATATGAATTCTATATTTATCTATACATGTTTATCCTTATTTATGACTATTTTTAGATCAATTTTAGATCAAATTTTACTGCTTACGCGTTATTTATATGAATAATTTGTATCGTACAGTCATACATTGAATGTACAAATAATTAGTAATAGCTTATATAAATTTATAAATTCTTCTGCCAATAGTATCAGTACATAATATAATGCGATAAATGATAAGATTCCATGAATGTTAGGAACACAGCAATCTAAATCATATCTAAATTTTATTAAACAAATTATATTCATTAAATGTTAAATTATAACTATAAATAAACTTGATACATAAATAAATATTCTCTTCATGCATTTTGTAATTTTATTTTCTTATGCATTTTCAATATTGATTTCCTTACGTGGAAAAAAAGGAACACGTGTTAATTGATAAAATATATAAATATTAAAGATATTAATCAACGGGATCAATAATCTTTAAATTAAAAATAATTGATAAAAATACACTAATTTATGGTTCAAAATGTTCACGTATATAGATTACGCAATGATATAAATCAGAAAATATAATTTATTAAGATATTATATGTTATAAAAGTTGGTAGAAAGATCTGTTTAATGGAAATGTGGACTTGATTCATCAATGATATTCACAAATTATAAGCACATTATTAAATTTCATTAATCATTTTACAATTTAAATGTGTGAAAATGTTTCCAAAATAGTAAAAAAAAAATTATTAAGTTTATTGAATAGTGTGGAAATATATTACATTCCTATAGAAATAATATTTGACAGCAGAATGTTTAAATATCTATCGAAAATACAATGCACAGTCAAATACATTCGTTAGTCTCTAAATTATTTAAACGTTTTGATAGAAAACACAATTTCTCATAATAATCAATACCTAAATTCAACTATTATTATTATTATTCTTTATTCATTTAATTTTATAATATATAAAGTTTGCTAACGTAAATTAATAATTAATATTTACAAATTTGAACATTGTTTTTTTTTCATTTATAACAATAAATGAATAAAAAATTATGCAAGAGATGGTATATTCCAAAGTACTTTATTCACTATGAGGCATAAGTCTTGTGCAATTAAATTTCATAATTATTAATAAATTACGACTGTTAAAATATTGAACACACATTTTCGTAAAAAATTTTTAACATTATCTAAATGTGATAGCGATTAATGAAGAAGCAGATCAACTTATATGTCTTATATTTTTTAAAATAAATTAAAGTTTTATAGAACGAATAAGTACATGAATGAAATAAAGTTAATGTGATGATATTTTAAATGAGGCCGAAATCTGATAAAATGATAAAATTAAGATATTAAGGTAGAGTATATCGTATGTTATATTATATAGGCACTTAAAATACGTATCTGATAATCAGACAAAGATAGACTACCGAACCCTCATTATAAGGTTACTACGTCGATAAAATCATAATGTCTTTATACAACATACACAAGTAAACATTATGAATAAATTTATTAAGAATTATAAAAGTTTTTTAATAAAATGAGCAGAGTGAATTGTAAAGATTGTAAATTGTTTTTGCTTTCTTCGCTTTTTTTCTCTTTATATAATTCTGTCTACAAGACGATAGTCAATATAAAACATCACGAATTGTCATTTCAGTATGAAATATAACATTTATCAATTTCATTGCATTTGCAACTCTTATAAATCCATAACAATTAAGCAGAGTTGCGTATTATGGCGGGCAAACGCATTTCACCAGCTTCAAACATTAATTGTAAGACAAAAGTTGGCGGTCAATTACAAATCGGCCTCTGTGCGAAATATCTACCGAAGCAACCAACTAGCCATCCACCACCTCTATTTGCGCAAAAAATAACAGAGGCTATGAAGTAAACAATGAGCGTGAGAATGAAAAAGAAAAGCAGCTGGAGCATCAGCAGTACTTGTACGGATTGAGCATCCTCTCCAGCTTGAGTCCCCGCACGCGAGATGGCGCGCGAATCACTATCGCATTTCAGGTTACGCCGAGCCGCCCACGATTCACAGGCACGACGCATCCCTCCTCGGACGGACCTCGTCGTCCTCGTGTGTGAGTTCGCACTCCGTGGCGTCGAGCATAACCGACGGAGTCGGCGCGTCACGGGCGCGGCTCCTCGCGCAGGTGCGCGGCGCCGTCGACGTTGACAGTTCCGCTCCCCGCTCTATGCTCGCCCCATCCCATCCCACCCCACCCCACCCCACCCCATCCCACCGCGACCCGGCCCGACCCGAGCCGACCCCCGTCCTTGTCACTGCTCCGAAACTCGGATTGTTGACAGTGTGTGGCTCGTGCTCCGAAGCCTTCGCAGCAGCACCATCGACAGTGATTCTCCGGGGGACGGAAGAAGTGCGCGAGCCCGAGGAACTCGGTGGACGAACAAGGAGCCTCTCCGTATCGACCCGGACGTCCAACGGACGCGATCGCATTGAAGCCGAGGCTCCAGGTTGTCTCGACGACTCGGACGGACCCTTGCCCGAGCGTACGTCACTCGTTTGCATTATCCTTCGAGTCCATCCCCGCCATCACCATCCCCCTTCACCCTTCCCATTATGCGCACTCTTCCTGGAGCGTTTCCCTTCAGGAGATGAAAAATCTGCCATTGAAAGGACGGATCGTCGACGATGCGCGCAAAATCCGTTGCGATGGCACGGGAGCGCTGAATTAACGGGGGAGTAGACTATTTCTCAACATTTTCGATGGAGAGACGAGAAGAAGCATTGGCCAACTGTAGTAATTACCATCCATCGTTACTTCCTATTAATTTTTTTCAAAGTCTTAGAGGCTACCCGTAGTTATCGAGAGACAAATGCTTTACCGAAATAATGGACCTATAATAGCGCGTACCCGATCTCTTTATAACGCCGTTCCGCGTGTGTATGTGCGCGTGCGCGATTGTTTGCTTATTATGTCTGCGTACTAGGCGCTCGCGTACTCTCCCCTCACCCACCCGCTTTCCCGCAGCAACACACTCGTCCTCCTCTCTCTCTCTCTCTCTCTCTCTCTCTCTGTCATGTACAGGACACATGTGTACCTCTCGGTACAGAGGTGCACGTAAGAGCGGACGACAATAGCGAAAAGTACACTGTCTCGTCGTCGGCAAGCATGACACGACACGGGCGACGTGTTACCCCTCCCCCCTACCCCCAGCCAAATATTAGTGCACCAGAACTGAGTGCCGTGGTAATAAAATACTATATCGGCGCCAAATAGCTCATCGCCGGTTCAGAGGAGAAACAAAAAGCGACGATTCGCTCCACGAGGACGAATATTCTGTTGTGTGAGGTCGCTGAAGCAGACAGGGGGACGAAGCTCTGCCCTTCGAGCCCGTGTAACCACGAACGTATCGTCCGCTGTGCGCGTCCGTGCGCGTTCGTGTGCGCGTCGTGCGCTCTCCGTATGCAACTACCAACTAGCGCTACTCGCCGTAGATCGATTCGCGTTCCCCGGCCCCTTCCCCGCCGCCGCCACCGCCGTCGTCGCCGCTCTCCGACCAGCTGCTGCTCGCGTGTCCGACCGTCTCTCTCCTTCTCTCCGGCGATGCACTAAATTTAGTGCGCCGCGCGTCGCTGCCCCCGCATTGCACTTCCTCGGCGAAGGCCCACACGCCGAGGAGTAGGAGGAGACCGAGGAACGAACCGCGGGAGAAAGGAGTAGTGCTCTTACTACGTAGTAGTACGAGGCTGTAGTAAGAGCACGACCGTCGGCTCTTACGTGTGCGCGCGCGGATCCGATTGCCTTCGTTGAGTTTCGCAAGCCGACGGCGTTCTGACTAGTATCGCTAGTGTCCGTGGAGCTCGGAGACGGAGAATCGTCCTTGGTGGCTCGAGGTGGCGGGACGCACTGTGTTATTAGTGACTCTAACACCCGAGGTCTCGCCTACAGTGATGTAATGCGTGGGTTATACAATGTGTTTGGCGAACTTACTCGAGCTGAATAGGCGCGCGAGCTAGCATTCGTAGATGTCCTGCCGTCGTCCCCCAACGGTTCACTCCGCTTTTCCTGCCCGTACAGGAGTAACGCATTAGTTTCCCGAACTTGACTGTTTTCTACACATATGTCGAGTACGTCCTGTGCGCCTTGACCAATTGTTTGTAATTGAGAGACTCGGCGCTGCTCCATAATGACAGATAGAGGCAAGATTTTCTACGCATAAAACTCTCGACGATTGTTGTAAATCCTGTAACGCGAGGTAATGGCTTGTGTTTATTCATTAACTTGCAGCAGTACTCGAATATCGATAATTTTACAAAATCTGGATGAACCTGTTCTAGTAGTAAATATGTAAAATTATCGCATATGATATGAAAATACACGTGGCTTATATGTCTGGCTAATTCAATTCATTACTACTTAGTAAGCGTATGCGTATTTTCAGAGGACGCATGAATAATATTAAACGCATACGTCCTTTTCACCATAGTTTTGACGAATGCAAATTACTGCATAATGCACGTGTATTGTAGTCAATTGCTTGGAGCGAAAAGGGCAATCAATCGTACGCCATTGCAAAAGGCAAAATATTATGCAAATACATTTGTAAGAGAATAATGAGATTTTTCCAGTGAAGAAATAATGAGAAAAGCTCGATACAATTATAACGGTAGCACAACTGGTAAATTTGTCTTTAAGAAACATTTGTGATATTATGAGATATATACATACATATATACAAATATGTGCGCGTGTGCGCGCGTGCATGTATGCACACATGCATACATACATGCATACATAAACGGTTACACACTTTTATTATTTCCGAAATTTAAACCATAATAATTTCAACTTCAATAATTTCTAAAAAAAATTTTTATGAACTCGTAAATGTTATACTTTCGGGATTTTTAATCGTCAAAATTAAAATATTCATTTTCTACGGTATTTAGCATTAATTTTTCTTACGTTTTCATTTAATTAAAAATTAAACTATTTGTATATATTTTTGTTTATATATCCATCGCTTGATATTAATTATTTGTATATAATTTTTATTTTCTTATCAGCATTTGATCATGTGAAATAAAATATATATAAGTCTAAAAATTGTAAATAAAATTTAAATGTAATTTGTTTATAACTAAAGAATATTTGTCTTTAAAAAATTGAATCAATTAGAGAAATATCCTAGCGTTTCAACTTTTAAATAAACTTACATTAAATTATTACTAAAAACCGTTTTATTTTACTTAAATTATAAATATAAAAACTATAATAAACTTTAATAATTATGATCGATATATATACATATATGTACACACACATGTATATATACATATACATATAAATTTGAATATATGCATATAAATTAGCTATATGATTTCATTTAGTTTTCACGTATGAATGACGCAAATTAATTTACATGTTCGAAAGGTTTTATTAATAATTTTAGCTTATCCAATGTGCTATATTAAAAATAATTAAAAATAATCTTCTAAATATAAATTTGTATTTAAATAAAGAAATATGCATTAAAGAGTTTCAACGATATATGTGTAACGTATCGTGTAGTCATGATTAAAAATTGTGATCCTCGGAAGATAATTCGAGCTTCGCGATTTCTTAAAAATTTTATGCTTGTCAGATTTATGTTAAACATTTATAACACTTTATTATTTCATATTAAAAGAGTGTTTGAAAGCAAATAGATGGATTTTCAGATGTCTTTTATAATAAATATTTTATTTTCTGAGTAAATTTTCTTTTACATTTAAAAAATTATTAAAACTATTTATAAAGAGCTCGTGCAATGAACTAACATAACAAGTATTATATTTGTGTGAAAATTAATGGATTATCGTACGGGAATGATTTATAATTTAATTTTATTACAGATCATTTCAACTAAATAAAATTCAAAAGAAACTCCTAGTCCAATCTAATCAAATCTCATTTCAATAACATTAGTTATTCAGTGTCAAGCATAAAATTTAGTGTTCAGCATTTGTAAAATTGGATTTAATTTGTGATAAGTTTTATAAACTATCTTCTATCATGGTCCCTCTTATATAAAAATGTATTCTTCAATTTCGAATGTAATTACATGTCATTGATAAATATTTGATATAAATTTCTGATCAGACGACAGTCAATGTTCTCAACGTTTTAACATCAATTCCATATAATTTTCAGTCAAATACAATAACGGACACTAAAAAATTTTCTGTATATATGCAAATGTAAGTCTACTTATGCGAATATTTTATCACGTACTGCAAGACATTATTTTAATAACGCATTACGCAAAGTAACCTTATTTTTAACATTCTAAAAAGCAAAGGAAAATATATTCCCATAAAACTAAAAATACCCTTGAATTTGAAGGAAATTAAAACTTTATAACCAATCGCATATTCTCATGACTTTTTTTTTACATAATAAAGTATAAGTTACAAATTTGCATCGTATTATCGTGCACACTAAATGGATTTATTGTAAAAGGGTTTCGTCCATATTTTCCATATGAATCTCGGCAATCATATGCCAAATAGTCATATTTAATCGTATGAAATCGAAACTGCAGGCTACATGTAGCTAAAGTAGGACTTTAAAGAAACGCCATAAAAACTATCGACTACCCTACGAATCCCATGCCTGTATTACAAAACCGCTGCATCTTCTTCCTCGATACTGCCAATGATTAATTTCATCTTATTGTGTGCTACCGGTTTGGCTGCAGGTTCAAGAGGAGCTGCAGAGAGGCAGCGGGGGCTGTGTCCCGGAGGGAGAGGTGGACTCGGACACGGCAGGAGGTCTTAAGAACGGTCTCGGGATGAGGAGTGCTGCAGCAGGAGAGGCGTCTCGCGTAAAATTGACCAGCGGTGAGGCATGGAAGCTGCCGCCGCTGGAGCCGGTCTCCCACAGCAGCAGCAGCTCCTCCGGCAAGGGCTGCAGCAACTCGACAGTGGTGTCAACCTTGCCCCGGGCATCCCTGGACTCGACGTCGTGAGAGCTTTGCACCAGGTAATTATTACGTATTTGTTTCTTGCGAAGACCCGGGCAATCCCAACGTGCCAATTGAACTTAATACGAATTCTCTAACGCTTCGCCAATAGACGGGGGGGGGATTATTAAAACAATATTTTTCAATACGTATTCGATTATTTAAACATTCAAAAATTGTGAACGCCATCGCTTTATTTGTTCGTAATCAATTATCAATTAAGAGATAATTGTTCGTGAATATTATTAACGAGAATTGAAAGTATCTGATCATTTTTGTACAAAATAAAAAATAATATATTTTAAGCAACGAACATTGATATTTCAATAAATTCATTCGAATATCTATCGGAAAATATTATAATTGTACGTTTATTCTCATGGCATCGTTAATTAAAAATTTGATTGTAAGATCACAAATTCAATAATACAATGAGTACGTTATTTTTTAAATATATAGTTTTATTGAATTTGATTTAGAATAGAGTGGTAATAGTAATGCTTGTTCGCTCAAATATTTTAGATTATTATAAAAAATTATAAAAAAAAAAAAGTATTAATTCAATATTACTTATATATATATATATATATGTTGTATATATCTTTAAATTGTAATTATTATACAGAAAAAATCAATTGTTTAGATAAATAATGAGAAGAGTATGCTTCATGAAAACATAAAATATTGAGTTAATTTTTTAATCAAGTAAAGTCCCATCCATTCTTTTCAATTTTCTTATTGTCGTATCAAAAAAAATTCCAATCATAAAATTTTAAAATTGTTATAAATATTATGTTTAACCTATGATAGAAATATCAATCTAATTATATATAATGTTTAATTAGAATTAAAATACTAAATATAAAAAAGACTTTTCTTCTTAACTACAAGTTTTGGAAAATTTTCAGAATATATTTAAATAAGCTCCTGATAGTAGTATGCAATTATTATTAAATAGATTGAAAAAGATTTCATAAAACGCAATGCTCGTATTATTTTAATAAAAGTTAATGATCAAATATTAATTAATAAATAATTAATTTTATTAACAAAATTACCGTTAACATAATTATTTACCTCGGATGTAAAATGAATGTTGGTTTTCTAATATTGAATCAATAATTACTGTGTCAAATTGAATATTCAATAAATTCCTAAATTTCAATTGTATTATTTTATTTTGTTTATAGTGAATTATAATAAAGTTTTAATTATTTTTTTGAAAATATGTAAGTTATTGGAAAGTATTTTATCGAAAATAATACGAATCATATAATACAAAATCGATTTAATTCCCATTTATAAAAAATATATAAAAATACAAGCAGCATTATTCTGTAAATTAAGCATTACGTATAAACAATGAAATGTCAGCCATACTTTGGCGCTTGTGATTTATATAGAAGAGGTAGTGTTTGTAAGATTATTGTGTGTATTATTGAATTTCAAATTTTCATCAACTCTGTAATGATTTTGTTTGCCTTTCGATGTTACTGATTTGCGTTAAGTACAATCTTCAAATTAAAATAATGAATAAACAAGGCAATAAAATATTAGAATGCCATTTATATTATAAAATTGACGAAAATTATTAAGTCCCAATAAATTATTAGCTTCTTAAATTATTGAAATTAGATATTAATTAAACAACTTATACCACTCAAATTGCTCTTATAAAATTTAATAAAAAAATATACCCAATTTTCGATTGTAATGATGTATTTAATATAATCATTGTTCGATAAGAATACTTGTAATATAAATTATTATGAATAGAAAAATGTATTTTACATATTCATAGAATAATGAAGTAAATAGAATTATCTTAAAAGATATTTATAACAATTGTGTTCATTTATTATTACGTATCATGTATAATCATTAATTATTTTTCAAGATTTCATTTGAATCTGTTGACAATTAATTTCACCAATATAAAACTTATTTTTAGATTGCATGTTTCTTTGGCTGTAAGGCTTTTATTGACATTTCAGCATTATTTCTGATGTTATTTCTGCAAAGATATATGGAAATTTGTGTATTAATGTACCATTAGAAAAAAAAGTTATGCATAGATAAATTATCACTATTATATAACGAATATAATGCAGATAAAAAGCTTTTGTTATTATTATTATTGTTATTATTATTATTATTATTATTATTATTATCATTATTATTATTATTATTATTATTATTATTATTATTATTATTATTAGTAGTAGTAGTAGTAGTAGTAGTAGTAGTAGTAGTAGAGGTAGTAATATAAATTACTACGTATATTATTTATGATAAAAAATATTGAATTTATAATTAACTTACAACTATTTATAAATAACTCAATAATTGCATTAGTATTAACGACTAATTATGAATGTTCGTGAATCGATTATAAGCAAAAACTTTTATATTGACTAAAAACTCAATTGCACACATAATGAATCGTAAAATAATATCTAAAATACAAATAAAAAAATCATATGTGTCATCTAATTGTAGTATTTTTTGTATATTTAAAAAAAAAAACTTAATGACAATTTCGATTTTTTTCCATCCCTCTCGATCAGCCGCGGACAAAGCTGTAGAAAACAAGAATAATTGTTAATCTGAACAGGTCTTCGTTATGCTTTAATCGCCTTTAATGATATTAAATATGATTCGATATTAATGCAGAATTTTTTTTATTTTATATTATACTCCAATGAATAATTTGGTATAATAAATCAAAATGCAAAATATACTTGCAAAAGTGAAAATTTTGCTATATTAATAAAAATCATTACTTCTTAACTAAAAATCTTTTTACTACCAATAGTACAGATAGCATATTTTAATGAATTTTTTATTTGTATAAAAAAAAAATTTCATGTGCTTATAGGCGTCAGAATATATTTAGAAAATTATAGTGTAAAGGTGTTTTATAGCCTAAATGAATTTATAATAAACAAGCTAGTAAAAATTTAAAATGAAAAATCAAACGACGAACTAAATTAAAATTATATTTATGCTTGTGTTTAGGAATGCCACATTGATCTATGCATATTATGCCTCATGTTTAAATTGGATTTATTCAGTTGTTTTTTAATTTACTATAAAGAATTTTAAATAAATATATCTGATTTCGTTATTGCTAAATTTATTATTCTGCATTTGCGATTATGGTTCTAAAATAAAAATAAAACAAATTTTACTCTTTAACTAATTATATAAAAAAAATAATAAAAATATTTGAAACTATTCTATAATACTATATATATATATATATATATATATATATATATATATAAATATATTATTAAAAATAGAATTTTTGTTGCTATTGCAGTAATTTTGTTCATAATAATGTTTATTACAATTATGTGTTTTAACGTTTCTTTGAAGTATTATTTTTTAACTTTTTAAAATAAGATTTTCACTAGCTTATATATTTAACGCAATAATGCGATATTATCTAAAATTTTAATATTTCCAACAAAAAATTTGTATAATTGAATTTATTCAAAAATTTTTAAATGTATATTGATTCTTCCAATTAAAATTTTGATATTCTTTTTTTCTTTTTTTTTGTCAATTAAATGATTCTTTTGCTAAAAATTTTATTACTGTGTGACAGATAAAGAAAATTAAGTTTTGCCGTATTATCAGTTGCAATAAGGAAATACTTTTGCCTTCAATTTTATTTACTAGCTATCTCTCTTTCTCACTCTCATTATCTCTCTCTCTCTCTTTCTCTGTAAATAGCATATGATTTAAAAAGCGAAACTTATTTCTGTATTTAGATAACAATATATTTTCATAGAATATTTTGCAATGCTTACCGTTACAATCTCTTGAGCGACAGCCTCACAAAACCGTGTATATTCTACATTTTAGTTTGTTTTTGTTCATTACTTATTGTGAAATAGTCTTCGACAGTTTAATTGTATCGAATATAATTTTAAAAACTTTATCAATTAATTTACAATATGAATGTTTTGTTAAATAAGAAAGAAATCATTATATATATATATAGGCATACAAACAATTGCAAAATAATGAAACGACAACGTGTTGTTTCCATCTTGTCTTATAAACAAATTATAAATTTTGAAGCTACCGTATAAAATAAACCAAGATAAATTAACTATAATATATTTTCAGAAATATAGTTTATTAGTTGTGATATACAATACAAATAAATTAAGCATACATATTATGACTCATGACGTAGAAAATTTTTTAAAAATCCCATAATCAATAAAGTTACAGATCATAGATGATAATATAATTGTGTAGCTACGAATGGGTCTATGTATATGAGTCATTTTACAACTGAATTAAATATTCCATCGGGTACTCTTTTTAAAAAATGATGTATAAGAAATCATATTTTTAAATGTGTATTTTATAAAGGATAAGTTTATTTACGTTATATACTGGGTCAAATACTCAAGGACTTTTGCAGCCGTTACGTCAGTAAATGTTAAGTCTATAAAAAAGTATATTAGATTTTAGAAAAATCTAAATAACTATGCTTTATAAAAAATAGAACATTATTGAATTAAAGTAAATGATAGATTCATATTAGGTATCTGATAAACGTAAAAGGAAAAGAAAAGAAAACAAAAAAATAAAGTGATACATCTTCTACATCTTCTACTTAGAATTTTCTTAGAATACTTATAATCAAATATCTTTATTGCTCAACATGTCTATATAATGCTTCTTTCTAATCTATTAAAGCTACGGGAAATAAGGAGAATTACGTGGAAAGGGAAAGGGAGAGAGAGAGAGAGAGAGAGAGAGAGAGAGAGAGAGAGAGAGACAGAATAGTGAAGGGAAGGAGAAGGACAGTCGCGGTCGTCGAAATTCTCGTATGCATTGAATTGAGGGCAATTGAATGAAAAACTTTAGTAGCTCCGCAAAGCCTCCCATTCTTCATCTATTTCTTTTTGTTTTTTTTTTTAATTTTCATGCATAGATAAGCATTTCTGTACATCATTTTCCTGCAATTCTTTTTCAAATTCTTCGTTGGATATCACTTGAATTACAAGGTAATTTGCATGGTTAACGTCAATATTATTGCTTGTAATTTTTTTTACTTTAATCCTAAGCTCGTATTATCATTCTCACTGTATCAAGAAAAACTAAAAATAATTCTGATACTCGAAAAGCTCATTACTCTAATATTTCCTGACTTCAATATTGATGCTCCAAATGTGAAATAGATACTTTAAGCTCTCACTTTAAACTCACCCTCTAGTGACGCAAATACATGATCTATACATGAAGCCGTTAGTTTTCATTTCATCGTGTAAAGATAAGAGGCTAGTTTACTAAGAATTAATCTTTCTTGTATTTGCTAAAATATTTATGAGCGAAGTATATATAACCCAATCAAATATTCCCATCGAAAGTATTTTCAACAATGAAAAATAATAAATAGTCCCTGATTATATTCTAATATTCTAATTTATAACTGAAAATAATTTATTGTATAGTATATATTTAAACACTTTCAATATTTAAAGAAATGCATGCTAAAATTACATACAAAAGTTTCTAAAATCCACTAATAAATAATATACATTTCCAATTTATCTTTTCCAGCACAATATCTTTTCTTACAGATTGTTTAGTTTCACATGTAATCTTGAATTTATATACTATCACTTATTTTCTTGGAAATGATTAGTGCATCGGTTAACCTAGGAGAAAGAACTGCATTTTCATCATATATATGATTCTGAAAAGTTTAAATTTTAGCAAAATATCTTAAAAAAGGAAAATTTTCGTCATAACAATAATATTCTCGAATTCTGAGTTGCTATTAATTTCCTTTTAAATTAATTTACAACCAAGTATAATGTTTTCATGACATACCGATTCTATCAACATTTCGGCCACGCTTTTTTCATATTATATTAAATAATTGTAGAAGTATCTGAAAATCTCATAACTAGCTCGGCACTTTATAAAAGTTTAATTATTATCAAAGTTGAAATTTTAAATTCCAATATATTTCCGAGCTGGCGAGAAAAGCAGACGATATTAAGAAAAAAGTGTTAAAATGCACTTTGTCGTAAGCTTCGCCGCCGATTAAAAGAATTCGAACTTATAATGAAAACAAAAAACAAAAAAATCTCATACATTGGTCGCGTTAATTAAATTAAGCAGCGGAAAACGTTTTTTCTGCTTATGTGAGTTAGAGATATGCGGCATAATCGAGATATTACAAGTATCGCAAAAAGGAAAACACGTATTATTTATTTACGCCTTATTCGCTCCACAAGCATCCGCTCTCTCGGTTCTAATTAGCAAAAAGAATGCGACCGTCTCTATTTTCTCTTTCCACAGCGGATCGCGAACTCCTTTTGCGAATCGAAGCGTCGATGGATGCGCCGACTATTACCGGTGGAAGTCTCGAAAGACTGCGTTATCACTCCTAGAGGACAGTGGCGATTCGCTAAGACTGGCGAGGATCTTTATAATCGCAATGCGTTCAGGCTTTTTTGTTTTCACGATATCGCGAAAACTCGTAAAATCGAAGTCGCTTTGCGTTCCGCGAAGGCGACGTCGTTAAACGGATTAAATTCAGAGTGCACCAATCGGCTTTCTCGCCCGGGTTAATTGCACGCTCGCCCGTGTGCGCATTTTATAAATGACCATTGAAAATGATCGCGCTGGATCTAGGAATAATTCAATGGAGCCGGGTTTGCGTAACATATTTACTTGGATGAAAATCACTCGGTAAAGTCGAATTCTTTGAACTTGACAAACGCCTTTAACGACGTATAAAAAATATTACGCGCGATTCTGACAAAAATTTTACTTTAATTGCATGTCCTTAATGAGTTTATAATAATCATTGAAACAAAAGAAATAAAACAATGTTATATAAATATTTCAATTATTATTATAAGTATATATATATATATATATATATATATATATATATATATAATTCAAATTGAATCGTATAGATTAATTCTCTGTGTTTTGTATTAAATGACGCATTTCAGCTATAACGTATATTTACAAAATGCAAGTTACTGCAATTAGGTTGCTACATTTGGATGTAATAGACAATCATAAAGATAATTTTCATAATTAAATATCCAACGTTTATTAATATTTTGGTACAAATTACATTCTTTTTTACATTAAATAAGTTTTATTTTAACTTTCAAAAATTACTTTTTATACTGAAGTTATCAAATAGTTTAGTTTTTGTTGTATAATTTTTTTTTTCTTTTTTTTTTTAATAATTTTCTGTAAATTTAGAAAAACCATTTACAAAATTCAAAAGAATTTCAATGCTCTTAGTAATGTAATGTAATATAGCTTACAATTAAATTGTGCTTGAAAAAAAAGTAAAATTTCCATCAATGTATATTACCGAATGCTTTTATTATATTGGTATTGAAATAAAAAAAAGGTGTATTTACTTATACATAATGTAAAAGTATGAACACATGTTTAGACAATGAAGTAATGTTTCACTGCATCGTTATTATTATATAGGCAGTATGTTCAGCATCTCCATCGCGGCGTATCCCGAGTAATAAATTAATTGACCTTGTGATACAGTGTTACTGCAAGCGCAAGTCAATCCGCTTTATCGTACGTTTTAATTTGTGATGTGGCATGTTCAATTTTTTATAACTTTATTATTTCTCATTGTTTCGTACTATGTAAACCATAGAGAATAACATGCTAAATACCATAGTAAAGTTATTCAATAATTGTATTGTTTGTACTACGAATTCAATTTATTTAAACATTTATCCTTTTACGTTTACATATATATATATATATATATATATATATATATAATTCATTCGATGGAACCTTTTGCTTTTATGAATTTTCAAATATAACGTGAAAATGAAAATTTTAATACTATCGATTCAATAAAATAGGAATATTCTTATATTAATAAACTTTCTCGCACTTTTCTCGAAAAAATCTTGATAACTCCATATGTTAGACACACTTAATCAACGAATCATTGGATTATCCTGTGAATCTTCTATTGAGAAGCTCATAAAAAAGCGAGTCGAAATCGAATATTGAAGGTCGTGGAAAGAATTCGACGGAGCCTTCGAGCGGTAGCCCGATCGCATCCTCGTAAATAGGCAAGCTCGTTTTCATCCCCCCCCCACCCCACCATTCCCGTAAGCATCGCAATCCCCACCTAGAATCTCCCACAGTAAAAGATGACAGTGGCGCTAATCGAGAGCCAATTCCGCAGACAGTGATATCGCTACGCACGGCGCTGGACAGGTCGCGCGAGGAGCTTAACCAGCTCAAAGAGCGGAAGCAGAGGAGCGAGACGGAGCCGCCCCCGACGTCGGTGCGGAGCCACGAGACCGTCGAGTGGCTAGCCCTCGAGAACCACTTGCTGCGCAGGCGTCTCCTTGGCAGGGCCGGTGAGTTTACCAGCGATGCAGCAACGAATGCGTCGCCACCGACGAGGACGCCGACGTCACCACCCCCGCGCACACTCGAGCTAGAGCTTCTAGAGGAAGGGTGAGTAGAGATGGAGCGCGGATTGCCGTGGGTGCTTCCCGTAGCCTAGGGGCGATTGAGTACCCGTAGCCTACGAGGCGATTGAGTACCGCTGAGAATTGCTTGCGCTTCGACTAATTTTCAAATAAGAAGGAGGCCATTAGAAGCCGGACTTCTTCGACTTGGTTTAGTTAGATAAAATCGGCGTCTTAGATCCACTGGGCAAATTTGCTTTTGACAAAGCTGTGCTTTTATGCTTCTCTTGGCCATAGCCGCGCGTATTTTCGCAACGTCAATACGGTGTTTATTAGTTTAGCCGACTCTTTCTCAGTCTCGATACTACTCCCGCGCTTCTTTCATTTTCCATTGCCGCTCTTTTTCCATTTACTCTTTTTATTTACAGTTTTACTGATACTTTGGGATACTGACGTAACGTTTTTATACGATTTTCACGCTTTTTCAGGAATATAATGTTTGTAGTGAATAGTTATGGGATGCCGTTAGCATATAAAATACAGAGCTGTGAGCTAAATAAAGATGCTCGGTATATTTTACACGCAAGCTTATAGAAACTAATATTGACGATCAACCAAATATTTTGAAGCTTTTTCATGTCAAGGATTTTTCACTAAAAATGTAACCAGCTTTCATAATTAGAATATGAAAATAGTTACGATAAGTAGTATTTTGAAGATTATATTTTACATAATATGAGAAATACATTTCATTTAATTCAAATTTCATCTCGACCATTTCACTTCTTTTTTTTTTTTTTTTTTTTTTTTTTTTTTTTTTAACTAACCTTACAATTTTTAGTGTATAAACTTTGATTTTTAATTTATTTTCTAAAGTTTTTTTAATTACATTTCAAGTATGTTAAATTTCTATGTGTACTGTTCAAATATAAATATAAGTTTAACAAACATTTCAGTTTCTATTATTTTAGTATATTCATATTTATAAATAATAACTTTCAATATTCATAATAGTTTATAACATTTTAGTATAAATACGCATACTGTGCATTTTCAAAGAAAATGAAATTATATTTATAATACATTAATGATTAATACTAATGAGTATCATAATCCATAATAAGAATTATAATCATCATAATTATATTTTTGAATATTTTATCAATAACAAATAAAAGTACCGTATAATTCTTTAGAGCTGTCATTGTGTTCGAGTAATTGTAGTCGAATACAATGAAAATATTTCGGAATTCGTTATCATTCCTTAAAAGGTAACATTTTAGTAGTCGTTTATATATCTTTTAATAATTATAAATAACAAATTTATTTATTCATATTTTCATAAAACCAGATAATATTCTATGTCTTTATTATGAATTATTCTATTTATGAGGTAGAAAATATTTTGGATTATTTTAAAATTTTGCACAGTTACAGAGTCAATTTTATGAATATGGGGCAAATAAAAATAATTTTATCGTCACTTTTATTCAGAATTTAATTAGATTTCTTCTATTGGATTTCCAGGTCTATCTAAGAAAATGATTATAATGAATATTAGAGTCTATAAGTGACGAATCAAAGTTAATATTTCTTATAAAATTTTATTATCGTACGCTATTAAATCATTTAAGAATAGCAAATCCATACACATAGACTAATAATATTACTTTCCTTCTATATGATTCTGATTTGATTTTATAGTTTTCTTCAAAGACATGTAAGTTAGATGCAACAAATTTTATTTATGTAGTCGCATTAATTCCAGTCGATATTTAAACTAAATTTTGTAAAAATTAAAATTATAAAAATTAACAATAGGTTTACAAATTTACAATAGGTCAATAAATGTTTATACGTTACAAAGTCATTGCAGTCTATTTTTGCATTTAGAAAAATTTGTCAAAGCCAAAAATCTCAACCATTAGTCCACATAAAATCCACTCCGACGAAATTCTCCTTTAGTAGCTAATAAATCTCACGCCAAATGTTCTGCAAATCTAACGAAAATAAATAACCAAACCATTATGACGATACACTTCTTCGCTGGCACACAGGTTATCAGAGAAAGTAGCAAAGATGGAAGCCGAATCGGGGGAAACGTCGAATGCGAAGGCAAGCGGCCAAGAATCGACCAAGGAGGCCACCGACGAGGAGAAGTCCGCGACGGCATCGGCACCGGTGCCGGACAACCTCGAGGTACTTGCTCGCGAGTCCGTGAGCGAAGGATCACTCGTCGGCGAAGGTAAGGACGAGTCGGAGCCCCGGTCGTCTCACGATGCCAAGTTGACTGACCAACGCACCTTCAACGAGTCGGAGAACGAGTCCGAGGAGCTCGACGACATCGAGCTTATCTTTACGACCGACGATACCTGCAGGGATGTTTGCCTACAGGAGGGCCTTGTATCAATCACCGACACGGACAACTGGCAGCAATCACCACTAACACCCACATCGGTACATTTACACAACGATACCAGACTCTTGCTTTTCCTCGTAACCTTTATGATGACTTTTATTATGTTAAAAATGTAGAGAAAGTGGAATACGTCGTTGATTAAATGTCACTTTATTTCTGTCTTATTTCGATAAAATATTTTTTATAAAATTTAGAAAGATGCCGAGTGTGCATAATTATTAAATGTCTATTTGCATGAACGTTTTGTCAACGATAGAAAGGTTCCAATCAAATAACATTTCAATACACCAATATAAAAATTCAAAATAAAAATATTAATTATAGACCATCTGATACCCTCAAAAATCCAATTCAGCATTAGGGAACTTTTAAGCGTATAATTGTACTGGAATTTATCTAAAAGATAAGTTATATTCACAATGTCAATTCAATAATAATAAATAGTTAATAATTATAAGTGTTTATAAGGATTCAAAATTAAAAGCTCATATTATTCTATCATTAAAATTTAACTGGACTCTCGACTTTCTCGACTTTATATGAAAGGCTGACGTATTGTCTTTACTTTCACAAGAAAAAACTTTTTATATACTTTTTGCAATGGTACTAAAATAATATATCTTTTCTTTAAAACGTCCGTTCGTTTAAAAGTCCGTTATTTTAAGATTCGGGTGAAAGGTTTGAATTTCACTAATATGTATACAAACATTTACGACATACATTTTTTTATCATATATTTTCTTATCTGCATATCAATATTTCTAACTAATTCTCAGCTTCTTTGTTAATCAGCGCTAATCATATATATATATATATATATCGATTAAAAGATTATGAAGATTATGATTAAAAGATTATTGCATTGCAGATTAGTTGATTGAAAAGGCAACTTTAATAATAATTTCTTTTCGTAATTGATTCTTTTAACTCAAGTTTCAGCCGATTTTTGCATTATATTACACACTTGCGTGTTTCACTATCATCTCTTATTATTAACGACACGCTTGATTGTCCTTTTTTATTCGACCGATTAGGGAAGATTATTCGGTATGATACAATGGCTTAATTAGATTTTTCATTTACAATTTACATTAAACCTATTGCAGAGTCACATTATATTTGAAAATAAACTTTTGTAATAACATTACAATTGAATTAACCATGTTTTATTGATACGTAAGATGGCAGAATAACAGACCGGAATCACTTTAAGCTTTAAATCAATTAATTTTTTTTTTACAGACACGCACACACTTACGCACAAACAAACAAACAAACAAATAAACAAAGACACTTCCGACCACAATAAAATTGATTTTACTTTCGATAAAAATATCCATACATTTATTATAATTTATTTAAGCGAAAAATTACAGAGCGTGTATGAGAAATTCAGAGAAATACCTATCATGTAGATAATGATTATTCCGGAATGTATACTCAATCTACTCAAAGCTAACATTACTGCAGCACATGCACATTCATACGATTATGTATTACTTAATAGTGTTTTAATTTTTACTTTTTCTCGAAACAAAAGCCCCTACCGCGTACGAGCTAAAATAAACTTCGCAAAAAGTGGGTTAAGCCCATATCGATACGTTTAAATTTTAACCGATAAATAGTCTTAACTAATGAAGAATGGATCATTCACGCGAAAGGCTCTAAGGCCCATTTTCATTAAATCATAAAGGGAAATTAAAATTGAGTTTAATATTTACAATGCATTAATGATTAACTGTTTGAATTAAATTGATCATGAATAATTCCACATCGTCGGGAATTTTGCTAAATCAATCGATCCCAAAATGCATAAAAGTTGTCAGTTGGTTTCCGGATTCTCGTACAAGCTAATTAATATAATCGCTCGAGCGTCATAAACTTGAGGGTCTGTAAACGTATGTCGTATGCGTCGGCAGAGCGATCAGCACAAGTCTCTACTGAAGAGCGGCCAGTCCAAGTCCGGGGAGAGCGAGGCGGAACTCGCGTGCAACGACAGCACGAGCACGAGCAACGAGAAGCCCGGCTCCGTGGAGGAGGCGGCCTCCTCCCAGAGCAGCAGCATCGACCGCGAGGAGAGCGTCGACAGGTTCGACGAAAGTTCGGGCAGCCGACTCAACAAATTATGGTCCCAGTGCTCGGTCCTCGTCGAGACGGACATCAGCAAATGCGGCGTCCTCGAGGAAGCAGATCTCGTCGCGCGCCACGCCGCTCGGCGCAACACCCTCGCCGCTCCGACAGCCGCATACAGGTACGAGGAACCTACGAACCTCTGTACACGATCGTTTACAGGAGACATCCTGGTCGCTTGAGTTCGCTCCTAGTTGCGACTTGCGGCTGCACCGAGACGAGTTCCTTCGCAGAGCGATCCACTGACTCTGCTCCGGCCCCCTCCACTCCAACCATTTTGCATTGGGCGTTCGGGCGCGTGTTACTCTAAAAATTATAGCCTGCCAAGTTCGATCTCGTTCCCCGGCACTTCTCCGGCACTTCTCCGGCACTTCTACGGCACTTCTCCGGCATCGCTTCCGCTGCTATTAAAATCGCGTGCGACGGCTCTTGGCAATTCGTAATCACGCCATTCGGAGGCTAAACCTTCCTTTCGATCGCCCTGCCCTATTACACAATCCCGGCTATTTTCTACGTGGAGCGGAATCCCGTCACTTTGGCGCTTTGCAATTGAAATCTCGAAAGGTGCGCGATGAGGTATCGAAATCGCGAGCCACATTGGACGACAAAGAGGCTCGCTCGTGTAAGTCTTTTAACGGGAAGTTTGACAGACGGGGTGACACGATCGTGGTCATCGGCGTTCAACGGAGTCAGTCCAGCCATCCCGACCCTGAACCACGACAAGCAGTCGCGCGAATTAATCACCGTTCGCTTCCGACTTTTTCTCAACAGGCCGATAATCCATCGGGAGGCTCTAGCCGCTGGCCGTCGTAAGAGCTCCGCACCACTGAGGCCGGTGATGGACAGGAGCGGCTCCGGGGAAGGCGCACGCCGCGAATCCGGCGCCCAGACTGACATCTCCGCCCTGCCGGGCCAGTGGCGCTCCGAGAGCTACCTCGCCCACAAGGTCGCTCACGCCTTCACCACTCTGCCGAGCAAATTCGCGCTACCGGCGGGAGTGCCAGGGAGGATGCGGCTCTCGTATAAGACGCGCGAGGCCAAGCGGGTCATGCTGTCGGACATCAGTTTCACGAGTATGGTGCCGGAGCTGTCGAGGAGTGCGGATCACCTGTGCCAGGAGAGCCAGAACCAGGTGAGATGGCATCCGTGCAACCGCCTCGTAACCTTTGCACTCCCTCCCCGTTCCCCGCACTCGCCCTCTCGTTACGATTGCACGCGGAGGGCACGATTGAGGAGGGGAGAGAGAGGTTGAGAACTTTGAAGAGTTCGATTATAAATTCGAGTATCTAGTGGTCGAGTGCACTTACTGTATTTGGGTTATTTGCTTCGCGATCAATTTTCAGCTCAAGGTGAAGGCTTGATTTCGTTGCATCTAATGCGAAGGTGAAACGAGTGTAAACAAGACTGAAAACTAATCGATTGACCGAAGTGATATTGACTTAGGTTAGTTCAATCAGCGAGACGCTCAGCAAAGACCTCCATGACTTGTTGTATCTTCTTGTTGCTTTACAAATACTAATCTAATGCAGTTATTCTCTCAATGCCCAATTGCTTACGTAACACATGTTTGTAAGTGCATTACTTAAGGTCACATACGCTGCGCATCTCCCATTAATGGACAGCTACTTAGGGTCCATTAGCCATTGGGGCTTTCTAAAATGTACAAAGTTTTTAATAATTTTTACCGTTCCCAGCTCCTTTGTTTATTTTATTTTTCATTACGTTGAAAAAGATAAAAAAAACTTAAAAATCTATATATTAATAGATATGCTTGTACTTATGAATGAAACAAAAATTTCTAAAATTTATTTTTAGCAAGTGAATTCGAGTGATTCGACAATGTCGAGTAGTATCGAAAAAAAGTCCGCTTACAATTTCTGAAATGCTTAAAATTTGGAAGAGATTACTTTTGTCTAATATAAAATCTTTGCCACAAAATAATATTTTTTAATAAATTTTACTTTTAACCTGAAAGATAATTGTTTTTTTTTTTTTTTTTTTTTTTTTTTTTTAAAATTTCTTTAAAATCACAATGTTTGTGTAATTTATTCGCAAACTACGCTACGTTTTATTTTTGCATACACACGCGCGCACATACAAACAGACACACTCACGCATACACACATACGCACGCGCGAGCGCGCGTACGCCGACACTCACACCACTATATATATATACGCAGTTAGTATTATAATTGAAAAAATATTATTATTTGAAATAATTTTAAGGTATTAGGTTGATCGTCGATAATTAAAGATATTTCGTAATAATAAATGATACGTGAAATTAGATCATCTAAAATGGATTGATTTCGTAACTACGATATTTAAAACTATTTAAGATAATTAAGAGATCTTTATTTTTGTATAACTAATTGCTATTAATTGCACGTGTAAAGTAATCCATGTGATTATTGCATTTTAAGCAAATAGAACTTGTGTATAATTTTCATTAATGTTTTTTATAAAACGATTCTTAGGTAAAAGCATTTAAATATATTTTCGGCTTATATAAACAGTTAAAAATAAGTTTTTTCTTGCAAATGTTTAATTATGTGCTGTATTAAATGAAAATAAAAGTTATCTTATTCGTTTAAAGTAAAATTTAATTTCATAAACGCGCGCGCTCTCTCTCACAACCACCCACCCACACACACCCACAGAGAGAGAGAATTATGTGCTTGTGTAAATAAATATATTATTTCTATAGATTACGAGCTATATTTATTAAACTCTAACAACAATATTGTCACTTTATATATTTGTATAATTATGATGCTGTTACTGTTTACATGATACTTACCCATGGACTTTTGTCATAGTTTTTCTTATATGAATTTTTGCATATAAAGGAGATGAAAGCGTCAAAAATTAATAAATATATTCGTTAGAAAATGCTTGAGATATTTACCAGGTTAAGGATAAATTAATTTTTTTAATTATTCTCTTAGCTGTGCTCGCTATTTATTACATTTAATTTACCTAATGTAGATTGTTACAATTAGCGATACATTGACATTCTAAAATAAATTCTATTAATTGATTAACTGAAGTTATTAGTGATAGTAAATTGGTGAAATATAATTATCGTCTTTTAAGAAAAACACTTTAATCTTTCTAAATTTTGTCTTGGAATTAAATTTATGGTTTGTTTTTTTTTTTTTTTTTTTTTTAATTTGTACATTTCAAGAAAAATATTATTCATTAATTTTTTACATTTCACCGAAATCTCGCGCATCATTTTTCTCTAGAGTCTAGTATTTTCAGAATTTACTCCACGTTGTAAAACACAACCTCCGTAAAAACTTTATCGTAATTACATTGAAAAGAAATGCATTATTCTATCTTCTACTAAACAAACATATATATATATATATATATATATATGCCCGTACTTATATATGCTCACGTGCGCTCGCAAGCATGTGAAAATAAATTAGACTCTAAATAGTCTTTCATAAGTTTTCCCTTCTCTTCCTCTCTTTTAATCCAAATGCAATGATTAATATGTATAGTTTTTTGTAATTTGCTCAAGCGTTTAAACGTATTTTTAAAAAGAACATATTATATTTCAGCATATTTCATTTAACATTGTCATTTGCATTTAATTCGTGTCTACGGTTTATTGAAGAAATTCACTTTAATATTTTCCGTTAGAGATAATAAGAGAGTTAGAGAAAACTTTTCCTAAACAAGCTGCGATTTTCTAAAAACTTTCAGGCTATTTTACGCGCTATATTTACGCTAGAAATTAAATTGTTTAAATATCTATCTTTTAATTGCCGTGATGTAAGAAAAGAAAACTTAACACTATATTCATATATGGTAATAAATTATTTCAATGAGCACTCTTCAATTTATTGCATTGGTCGTGTTAAGCATGATTAGAAAAATCTTGATTTTGCTTTTAATAAATAAAATTTAAATAAGTCGGCTGATCATTATAGCAATGATAAATAATAACGGGAATACAATACCGTTTAAAGAGTTCTTGGAATACTCGCGTACAAATCCAAGAGAAAGTCTTAGACAGTTTTCATTTAATCACGAGCGTTAAGCATTTCGATAGAATATCATTACTACCGTGCGAGCGAATTCACGCAGCTAAGCATAAATATAAGATAGGCTCCACGGTTGTTCATTAAAGACGTCAAAATAACGAATTTTTTCGAACACGAGAGAAAGATAAGTGCGATAAGGAGAGGCCGCGTTTTCCAAACCCAATGAGCCCGAAGCGTATAAATCCCAATGCGATTGAGCGTTCAAAAAAAGCAAACGAGCGCCGAATAAACCAGCCTCTCTTCCTCCTTCTCCTCCTTCACCTTCTGCGTCAAGTTTCCACAGCCGCACTACTACACCTCCCGTGGGGGTTGCGGGCTCCGCACCCCGGAGAGCAACAGACGCGAGTCCTGGAACCGAAGCGGTGCCACCTCGATTGCCGGCCTCCCGAGTCCCTGCGATTGCCGACTCTCGACGGATCTCTACTCCGCTCGCTATCGGGGCAGCCTCTCCTCGATCGCCACGCCGATAAGTGACCTGGGGGGACCCACGAGGCGACACTCCTGGCGCCCCAACGTCGCGGCCTCGTTCGACGGCTGGAGAGGACCGGCTGTTGGCCCGGGTGGCGGCCCGAACGCGAGCTCAGCCGGCCAGCCGACAAGACCCACCTGGTCCTCGATGCCGTCCTCGCCGACCCACGTCCAGCCTCCGACAGCGGCGCTCATCGCCAGGCTCGTCGGCGGCCCCTCACGTAGAGCCCGTTCCAAGGTCACGTTCCAAGGTGAGGCCGCTCTGTCGAATGACATTTCTCGTATCGGACCTCATTTCTACTCACGGACAGCGCAAAATTATTTTCATTTTTTTGCTACTTCCAGAAAGGATGTGTGTGTGTGTGTGTGTGTGTGTGTGTGTGTGTGTTTGTTTATTAAGGCAACTTTATTTTTAATATTTATATACTTTTGGCATTTCTCTTCTATTTCTGGTATCTTCTTCTAAGCACTAAATGACATTTTGATTTTGCCGCTCGATAACTGTTCGGTGTGTCTCTCGTGGAAATTTAATGCTCTTACAATCGTACTTACCTCCGGCTTAGCATTTATAATTATTAATAAGTTGATTTAAGCTCAGGTAACTCTACACGACATTGCTCGAAAATAGAACGAAGCTTGGACTAGTGTTGCAGGTAATTTACACGGAAATATAGAAATTTCTTTAGAAATGCTTTTGCAAATTTATTTCAACATTATATTTTACACGCATTTTCGGCATTTTTCCATTTCGGACAAACATGATATGTCGTAGGAAGCTCTTCATTGTGAAAGGAATACATCTTTCTTCTTTCCTTCGTATGTCTATCGATCTATCAAACGAAAGCAAATGTCAACAACAAAAAATCATTAGTATTCCTACTAATATTCTTACTTCTTAAACGTCAAATTACATTACGTTATTGAGTGTATGACACGTTTTTTTAAAGCAAATCCAATAATCCGTTTATTTTTAACAAAGTACAATTTGACCATATATTTAACTGCTTGTAAAATTACCAATTAATAATCGATCTTTCATTAGTCTGTCAATTTAAAATAAAATATTTTTATCTCTAATAACAACACGTCTCTGCTTACATAATAATTTTTCGCAGCTATTTAATATGCGCTTCTCAAGCATTTCTGTTTCAGTATATTTCTTTTCTTTGTTATTAAAGTTTTTAGCATAGCTCTCTGCCATAAGTACATCGGTATGAAAATTTGCTTTAATAAGACAGAAATTATTGCGTACTACTCGCAATTGGAATCTGTATTTAAGTTATTTTTTTCAATAATAACATGAAACAAAAACGAACAATGAGAAAAATTTAATTACTTCGTCGTCTAATTAAAAATGATACGCTCATAATCTTTTCAGTTTTTCATCATTGTTTTGTAAATTTTATTCAATGTAATAGCTTATTCAATGCCTGTATTTTATTACCAATGAAGAAACATTTAATTACGACAGTTTCGATCTTAATACGATTCTTACCAAACGAAGGATATATGCTTTCTATGCCGTTTTCTCTCACGAATTTATATTATTAGTTCAGCTTTTGTCGCCAAAGAAAATCTTTTACGCTTGATTTAATTTAAAAAATAATTATATTTTGATATTCTATTCTGTCTAAAGTAAATGTTGTAAAAGTAAAAGTCTGTTGGATAATGTAAAAGTCAGTCCCCATAATTTTATAAAAATTACGAAAAAAGAATGACAATCATGGAGTACATGAAAAACATGAGATTTACAAGTAATAATAAATATTTCAGCTTCCCAGCTATTTATTAGAAATTTTCGAACAATATTTGTTTTTCTATTTATTGTACTTTAACCGCGTCACCTGCATAACTTTGAAAATCCTTAAACGGATCTATTTAGTAAATTGAAAAATGCTATCTTGAACTGCACCTTACAACGCACATTTTCGTTCGTTTGTCAATCAACTAACCGAGCGCGATTAAGGATATTTTCAACGTCCGCATTGCGAAGCAAAATGTTTGTTCGGAATTTTCTTCCAAATCGAATGGAGGGCAATCAAAATTCACCTTGCATCGATCCTCGTTGACGATTAACAAAGTTTTTTCCGGATTTGTCCTGTTTGCTCAGAATGTCCGATGATCCGCGGCAGCTTGCCGAATCTGCGCTCGGAGACGCTCGAGGACAATAGCGGCGACTCGACCGAGTCCTTGATTGACGAGGCCGAGGATTACCTGAGGCGCAGCATCGACTCCATGCTAACGATCTCGACGTCCGGGGATCCAGGCGCCCGGAGGCACTTGGCCCGACGAAGAAGGGCGCGCAGGCATTCCGAGCCCGATTTGTTTCGCGATTGGAATCCGCCTCGGGACGCGAGGCCCTACTTGCCAAAGGTGAGCGAAGACGCTGCGAGGAGATGTTTTACCTGGTGCTCGCGGAGACAAGCTACGAGTAGCCCCGGTAGTTTTTACCGCTAAGCCAATCATTATTATGGCAAAGTCCGAATGGGGATTTTGGTGATTGGAGATACAGTTGGGCTTTTGAATAGCCGATGAAATTAATCTGCTCGGATGATAAAAGTTTATTTTCTGGCTTGTAACATCTAATATTAATTAATAATATAAATCTTTAGGAGAGCCGAAAGATAGTAATTAAGATTACTTACTACGATCGATGGACTTTATTCGGATCGGCTGGTAATGCTCGTTGATATTGTATTCGATTACGTCGACACTAATACTACTTAACCATCTACTCTATTACGACTTTTTCCAAATATTTGGTAAAGCAGTGAAAGCTATGGGAGTCCTCGAATGAAATCGTAAAATTTTATTAATGAAGCTGTCGCTTCTCCTCCCTATTCTTTTTTTGCCGCGCAGATACCACGAGATCTCAAATTGGACCATCTAGTTAAGGTAATCTCCCCGGAGGGGAAGATCCTACAAGGTCGCGTACGATACGTCGGGCCCATCACCGGCAAAGAAGATGTGCACGTAGGCGTTGAACTTCCAAACGAAAATGGGATATCCGATGGTACCATCCATGGGAGGCGATACTTCGATTGGTGAGCTCCTTTCTTCCTCGAGTTCTCGAGCGAGTTTTTTCAGTTGTCAATCGATCGATGACAATGTTTTACGCTGATCAAAGTTTCGTTTAATTGCTTATGTAGAAGCTCTCTTTTTTCTTTTCTTTTCTTTTTCTTTTCATTTTCTTTTTTTTTTCTTTTTTTTTTAAATAGTTAAATATTTATGCTGTGCATTATTGATTTCACTGAATATTAAAAGCCATATTATCAACGAAATCTCTTTACTTACTGATCTAGAAAAAATTGTTTTATTTACGATATTTGTATTATAAAATCCAAATCTTATTTTGATGCTCAACTTTTTGCTTGCGAAACAGCAATATTCAGCCATGCATATCCATAATTGATCTCGTTAACGTTAAATTTTCGATAACAATTATTCTCGCCTTCACCACAGTCGTACAATTATAGTTGTAATAACGAGAATAAAAGACGTCGATTAAAGTTTTTATAGTTACTCTCTCTCTCTCTCTCTCTCTCTCTCTCTCTCTCTATTAACATACTTCTACGTAATTCGTTTCACAAAGTTTCTCCTTACATAATTAACATAACTTCAGTTTCTAATTCCAAATTTTGTTTCACTTTTTTAATTGGAAAAAAATTCAGATTTGAAAAATAAAATATTTTCCAATTAAACGAATGCTTCTAGAAAATCGCATATATTTACATACGAGTTTCTCTATGAGTATTGCTCGCTTAAGATCGTACATTCACGATTCGATGCATATAGTAGAATATAACGAGTGTCCGCACGAAACGACAATTACGGCAATTTCTATTCTTCATTAAACCTAAACTCACTGTATTATATATTAATCCCCTAGGACTTGGAATACAATGTTTACAGCAGTTTATAATTAGACTCGATGCTATCATCACTTTTAACAATTTATTGATACGCGTGGTAAATCGCACGGTTCCTTCAAATCATAATAAATAAGCATCATACGACGATTACCAAAGCCTAAACGATCCTTATAATTACAAAATGTACTCGGCCCAGCTAATCATCAAGAATAACCGCGGCTAAGACGCTCATAATAGATGCCATTCGCTTAACACGAGCCTCTCGTTTATAATAAAACGAAATTTGCGGGCCTCACCGAGGCGAAACTAAATACCATAGCTTAATTGTATTCTTAATAACAACGTAATAAGCTTAGCCCCTACCTACCATGCGCGTCTAACACCACGTCCCGTGATTTTACCTCCTTCCTAAATTCGATACCACAATCCGGACTACGGATAAATAAAGAAGAATGTATTTATCGTCCGACAGTGAGCCCGAGCACGCGATCTTCGTGCCCTTCAAGAAGGTCGTCCTCGCCTGGTGCACCACTTGACCCGAAATCGGCGCCTCCTACGAGCTTTTGGCTCCGCGACCATCAACACCCAGGATCCTGCTAACTCAGTATACCGTTTGAGATCCGAAGCACCATCGATGTTACACGTCTTCGTAAGCGCATGTTTTCTACCTGCTTCGACCCCGCTGGATGTGCTTTTCTTTCCCCTCAAGGACCTCGCGCTCTCCTTCCCCTACTCACTTCGAGTGCACGACGAGTCGACGAAGTACAACACGACCTCGCTCACACACTCGATTCACTCAACAGTATTAAGGATATTATTGCCTGGTTTTCTAGAGATTTCGGATGCTTAGAGGAGTGACGATGCATTACTTATCGATATGTTTCTCCGCACAGCCGTATGGATGAAAGATAAGAGTGCTTGTAACGATAGTCAAGTGGACTGGCACGATTTATAAATATTCTTATGATTTGATTTGACGTTGGTATTTTTGAAGCGAGGTAACATCACTTTTGATGGCGTATGAACGAGAAATTTTATTTCTTCCAACATTATTTATTAAAAGTGTAGCTGCAATTGTTAAAACTATGCATTTACCTATCAATTATTAAAAGATTTAGTCGGCAATTTATTGTACATAAGCAAAACAGAACAAAACAAAACAATACAAAATAAAATAAAATAAAATAAAATAAAATAAAATAAAACAAAGCAAAGCAAAATAATAGTAGGCGAAACTCGCGTCACCGCCATTATTATTATTATTATTAATCTGAAGGTATTATCACGACGTGATTTTGATTAGAAACTTGTCACCTTATTAATATTTTGACTCGTTGCATTCTTAACGAGTGATAAAAAAGAATATCTATTTTGCATATAACAATCTGCAAATTAATTATCTCCAGGTGTCTTCATACTGTAGGTCAAATATATAAATAAAATATATTCTCTATATAAGTATTTGTAATTTACGCGGCTCATGTCCATCTAAATCAAATTTCTATTAGTTGTATACTACAATTGTATTTCACCAATGTGTAAATTGATAATCGACTTAATTGCGACGTTCAAATGCAAATCAAGTATGCTGAAAATAATTGGTTGGTCAATGATGAAATTGTCGGTGATACGTTGCTGTGCAAGAAAGCGAGAGAGTAGTAGTCATGCTTGTGCAAATTTTCAGCCAAATGAGAAAGAAAATATTTATACGTGCAGATATCGTACACGAGCTTGATATACGCACACGGTATTTTGCTGCGTAAGATGCACTGAAATATGTAATAAAGACAGACTGCAAGAGGGCAAGAGGAAGAAGGCGATCGATAACGGCGGATGGAATTTTGCGAATATTTCGCCGCTCCAAGGCTCCGAGAGCTCATGTGCTTTAATAAGATGTATCTTTCGTTAATATGCACATACCTGTCTTTATCTACACATAAGGGTATATATATATATATATATATATATATATATATATATATAATAATGCATGTATATGTACATCTATTTTGAATGAAGAAAAGTAAAGAGGCGCGCGTGATTTGGGTTTTCTACTTATCTACGCGGAGGATAAAGAAAAGGCTGCCCAACGTACGTAACCTACGTACGTATACATATATACGCTCTTACACACGTAAATACACAAATACACAAAAGAACACACACACGCTCGCACGCACGCACGCGCGCACACATTCACACACTTATGGGAGTTTATAAAAAATTAGAGAATCACGATACAGAAAACTCATTTTCTCACACGTTGTAGATGGATTCTTTGACGGAAAGGAAAATTCTTGATATGTTTGCCTTAATTTTCTATTTCTATAATTTTGAGATTTTACCGGGCCATGATCATTTTACAAATATGCACGCAAGTTTCAGAATATCAATATTGTTATATCGTATGTTTTTAATGTAATAGTCTAATTTGTCTGTATTGTCAACATTATAATAGTATTTATCTGCTCGAATAATACTTTGTATATTGCATGAGAATTTTCGTGTAATTAGCACTGTTCTTTCAATATAAAATTTAAAAAATGTTCAATTTAATTAAAGGCATTGCGAGCGTGCTTGATCGGTACGTAATACGCGATATAAAATTTGTAAGATCCGCTGATCCGTCAGAGATTATATCTATCCAAAGTTAGATATTTGAAATAGATATATTATTATGGCTTATCAATAAAATATTTGTGATCTCTTCGAAGGAAAAACGGAAAACGATGCTGTAATATTTTTCCGCTGTGACAGCAAATTAATATATTATCGATTAAATAATGTTAATATATGAATATATAAAAAGAAATTCGGGTACCTGCATCAATGACAATTACGTTTACTTAAACTTCATGAGCATTAGAATATATCATTGTATCGTTTAGAATATAATGATTAAAATACTGATTGTACAAAATTGCGCAAAGCGATTAATGAGAAAGCGCGAAGCCCAGCGTCGTAATAACATACACTAACAGGTAGTATTTAATTGCCAGTTTACCGGTGTTCCAACAGTATTGACTTTATAATTTACTCTTAAAACTTAATTCTCCGGACTTATTCAAGTTGTTTGTTACCATGTTATATTTTTATAAAATATTATTACTATCCATCAGTTTATCGCAAAGCACATAATAGAGCATTTTTATCACGCAAAAATAAAATTGTGAAAATATGTCAATGTATCTTGATTGTAATTATATATTTTTGATACTTAATTTCATCTGTAATATCAGACAATTTCTTGCAGATCTTTTGATAAACATCGTGAATCTTAACGATATATTTGCGTATATTATCAATTGAAATCATTCGATTAAAATTATTTTCAAACCGTATTAAAATTGATTTCAATTACTTATTAATCAATGGCTGTTATATTAATAATAATAATTATAATAATAATAATAATAATAATAATAATAATAATAATCATCGTCATTATCGTCGTCATCGTCAACATCAACATCATCATCATCATCATCATCATCATCATCATCATCATCAACATCGTCATCATCATCATAAAACATAAAAATGGATATTTACTTTTAAGATCGAGAAAGAGAGGTATATTTAAACGATCATTGAAAATACATCCGTGTTTTATGTCAAAATTGTAAAAAGAAAAAAAAAAGAAAAAAGAAAAAAAGAAATATTTATCTTATCTAATGCATCTGTCGAGCCTTCAACATTTTGGACAACTACAACTGACTAATGAATCTAGGATATAAAATACAAATGGCTTTTTCCGTACTCATTATAAATTTAAATGTAAAACCAGTTCAATGTGTTGTAGCTAAAATCCACATGCAAATATCGATTATTGATGTCGATTTTGAAATAAGTCCATTCGCTACATGAACGCTTTTCCAATTATTGAACGATACTTTTCATTTTCTTTTACTTTAATGCGTAGCGTTATATTTCGTATTTTGTTAAATTTTGAAAATTTCATTCATTAACTTCATGATTAGGAAGGGTACGCTGAAGCAAATTTACAGGAAATTAACATTTTTCAGAACGACCGCGTGCAATGAAAGAAATAACAATACAAAAACACGTGCACGTGGACGTTCAGTCAATTATAATCAAGAAACCTTCAGTCAAAATCTGAATATAGCATACAATATATATTTATGATATTTTATCGATGCCGCTGGGGCCCCGTAAGTGCTGTTTGTAAAAAAAAAAAAAAATAAGAAAAAAAAATATAGATAAGATAGTGATTAGCAATTTGCTCATTGCATACGATTGCATAAAAAACGTTGGGAATGAATAAATTGCTGATATTTACTCATAACGGTATATAAAGAAAGTTTTTTTGTATATTTTTCAAATAAAAATGTAGCTTAATTTATTTATTTATTGTAACAAGTAGTGCTCGTAGAAGTAAATCAAAACAATTACACATAGCGCGGATATATTTCAAAATCGAATATGCGCAAAAGAAGGAATGGATTGAAAATAAATTTGAATAAAAATTGGCGAAATAAACAATAAGGAGTTGTTGTGAGATTGTTGAAATACTGTCGTTCTATCGCTGTATTGGCTGTATTCTAAGGAAATTTGAATGGGCGGGTATAAAAAAATGTATCGAACAAGAATAAAACTATTATTATCGTAGTTAAGTAGCATTTATTGCCTTTCACATATAATTTATGTTATCGAATATTAAGTATTTGCGCTTTAGTTGCTTTACATTGACGTCTTACAAGAGAACCTAATTAAAAGAACTTTTATTTAACAAACAAATTCATTTAATTTATTTAATAATATATTTTAATACTTTTAATTGTAAATTTCAATTAATTATATTATATTCAAAGTATTTTATAAAACATAAATAACTAATATAAATTTTACAATTAAATAGGAATATATCATGCTTGAAAAAGTTTTTCTTATCAACTCATTCATAATATAATGAAAAGAAACACCAATGCTTTTTCTCTTGGTATGTCATATATATTTACGTCACGCGCTTTAAGAAGAAAACGCCAACATTATGTAATTATTTTCAATAATAGCACATTGTCTTTTTATTTCTATTCTTAATAATACAGCATCCTCTTAAAACAACGAATATTTTATGAATTTTAAAACTGTACGTAAGACTTCATTTGTAAGTCACGCTGCGAGAAGAAGAAGAAGAAGAAGAAGAAGAAAATAGTATTCGAAGAAAATGCATTTAAAGTTTTTATTTACAAAGTAAAAGATGTACACGCCGCTTTACATTCTTTGAGATTTCTACAGGATAGACAATTTTCTAAAATTCGAGATTCATACCGGCGATATTTATATTCAAGAAAAACATTTCCCCTTCTAACCTCTTATTACTTTATTTAACATTAAAATTTTATCTTATGTGGAAATAACAATAACAAATGGATATATCATAATATATATTATGTGGATAGTTATAGTAATGTAAGGTAGCACAAATATTAAATTAACTTCATTTTACAACCTAAGACATTCCATAATTCCTTTAGTTTCCTTCAAGTCCTAAAAGCATATTTAAAATGTCTCCACAACGCAATGTTAAACGGCAAATTTCTATGGATCACTATTCCAATGAGTGAGCACATCCGACAATTAAGCGATCCATGTTAATACGGGTAAGTGCAAAACTCACTTATATATCCACTGATATTATTCATTACTACTAACGTATTTGGCTATAAAAAATATCTTGATGTTTTATTACAATAACTTATTATGAAATTTTTTCTCGACGCAAAAGGATTAAACAAGCATCAGCAATGCACAGCAGAAGCAATATAATTTGTTCAAAGATAAAATTTCGGTCCGAGCCCTAAATGTATCGTAAATTCTCATTACCCATACAATAACTATTTTATGTACAGGTGTGTGTACGGGATTCGATAACAGTGAACGTTAGACTGCATCGTAGCAGCATCGCAGATGAAAACGGTATTGTTAGGCCTTGGGGGCGGGAGGGGAAGAGGTTGGTTTACTATTGAATGACGTTGGGAATCGGCGTCCAGGTTCGGGGTGGCGATAGCGGCCTCGCGAGTTTCGCGCTCGCTATCCGTAACTTCGAGGAGTCTTGAGGTCCTTAGGGTCCTTGAGCAAGCGGATACCCGCGGAGGCGTAGCCGACGGATCCCGTCAATGGTGCGAGGGATAGTCCGCGTACCAGCTGAAGGCACCATTAGGTCCGGTATGGCCCCCAAAGTCCACGTAGTCAAGGATGTGAGCGGTGGCGCGCTCCGGGCGCAGCGGTACTGGCTGCTCGAGCATGGGCTCGGGCGGCTGTTGAGGTCCGGGGGCCGGGATCGGTCCATAGGCCTCAGCGTGCCGGGAGATCCGCGGCCCCCCCACGGGGTTCAGCTCGATCACGTCGACGCCGTCGATCGGGATGGCGATGTAGCGCGGCCCCGCGACTACGAGACCCAGCCAACAGCTGAACAGCCCGAAGAGGCGCTGGAACCCATGAGAGTGGATGTTACGTGTACGGAAGGAACCGAGTAAATAATAGATTGCCGAGTTGACTTAAGTTGGTTAGGTGAACTTGGCTTAATGCTGGTTGAAAGATATCCGGGACTTTCGTGACTTTAATTTCGATATATCTTACATGCACATTAGGGCAATAGTCGCTAATGCGGAGAATTGAATTGCTTTCTCGTAATCGTCAAAGTACTTACCGAGTTTGCGTAAATATTTCGTTATTCGTCAATCTTACAGATTCAATCCACTATCGTGTATTGAAATTTGAAATTCAGATAAATTAAAAGCGACGTTATATTTGAGTTGATCCTTGCGTTCCGCGACTTACAATCAACAACAACAAATGGTAATTACCAATTTAGCAAGTATGCACAAACCCTTATTCACATGCGTGTTTTTTTAATTTTACTTTATTATTAATGCGTCTTGAAAGAAAATAACGATTAATGGAATAAAGTGTGATTAAACTAATGATGGAAAAGCTACTGAGCAAAATTTTCTCATAAAATCATTATTTCTATTGGTTAATATGAATATTTTTAATAGAGAAGTCTATGTTCACGAATGATATGATTCTAATTAATGCTATTAACGTGTATTATTCATAAAATATTAGTAACTGTTTTATCAATCTTTTATTCAATAATCGGCAATTATAACGCAAAAATATTGGTTGTCTAGTAGCATTGTGCCGGAAACTTGCTTTCAATTATTTTATAATTGCGGACATTTATAAATGGATTTAGATAATTCTCGTCAATACGGGAATTAAAAATTATCTTCTAATTCGCCTAAAGATAGTTATTACTCTTCGGTATAATGTAATTTGCATTTATCAAGTATATATGTATATATGATTAAAAATAATAATAACCGTAACAATATACGTAAAATGGCAAAAACTAGATTGAAAAATTGTTTGAAGTTGTCATGTGATGTGAGATTGATTACATTAAATTTATGTAATAATAGGCAATTAAAATTAATAATTGCCACAATAACTCTTGAAATGACAATTGAATACATTTTTATTGGAGAATATACGATAAATAATATTAAAAAAGAAACAAAAATTACTATCAAATCATCGAATAAAGTGAAGAGTAATGACGTTCAATTATGATTGAAATTCCTTTAAAGCTTTGTACTCAATATGTACGTAAACGAAAAATGAAAAAGCTTAATTATATATTCAACGTCTTATATTTATCAAAATTATTATCCAAATGTGCAATTAAATTTTGATTCTAAAACTAAACACTGTATTACTATATTTGTTGAAAAATCATCAATTATGATTTGCCATTGATTGAAACTAAAATTGGCCAAATAAAGATATTCTCAGGCACGTAGTCACTCGTAATAAATAAATTGAATATTATCGTTATAACGGCTCTCTTATCGCCCAATGCCTTATTTGCAAACTAAATACGTACATACGATAAACAAATGGAAAATGCAAGTGAACGATCATAGAGAAAGGTGATTACCAAGTAAGTGAGGTTGGAAGCACGGCTCGTCATCATTTATAAGGTCCTGCGATCGATCGCGATAGTGATAGGCGCTATTTCGACTGAGCGATAAGTCCTTGGGTCCGGCATTTTATACGGCCCCGCTCGGCGACTGTAGCTTTCTCGGGCCCCCGAGAGCTCGCGTCCCCGACGAGCAACGACAGCCTCGGTTACGCTCCTCGACGGAGCAACTCTTGCGTAGCACCGAGCGACCGTCGAGGAGAGAGATGTCATCGGGCAGGTATTATTTCCCTCCCCCGCCAACACCGGGTCCCCCTTGTCATCTTATTTCCGGCCACGATTCGCGGCGGTTTTTTCCAGCCGCGGCGGCAGTGGCGAAGACTTTTCCGCGCAAAAAATGTCAGCCGCATCTTTTTGCCGACTCGTCGTCGCGTACGAGCGCAACAGTAGATAGAAATTTGTTTAGAGACATGAATCAAAAGTATGAGCGAGCGTTTTGTTTATGAAATTTTTATTTCCACTTTTCTGGATTGTTGACGCTTACGCAAGACTGGTGGCTTTACAGGCAATTATGCTTCATGCTATTCTTCTTTTATTAAAACTAAATTCCATCCTGAATTATAAACTTGACGAATTCCACACAATTCGATATTTCATATTTATTAACATAATGATAAAGAGGCTAAGCAAAGGGGACTTGAGTCGGCAATTATATATTTTTCGTTAATTTGTATACTTGTTGTTTATTTATAAATATACTTGTTTCACTTTTCATCTTATCTCCTAATTTTTAATACAAATTTTATTAAAATATGTTGGCTCTTATGATGAATAAATTTTTTTTTTTTTTTTTTTTTTTTTTTTTTTTTTTTTTTTTTTTAATTTAATTTAGAATGCTTTCAAGTAGATATTTTGTTAAGCAATATATAGATGTGTGTAATATTTGCTTAGTCTAAGCTCGATCAATTTATAGAATTTGTATGTTTAAATATTTTACTGATAAATGTTTCAAAGAAAAAAAAAAATAACAAAGGATATTAATATTTTATTACTGGACCTTGAATAATCTAATGTAATTAAATAAAATCGTAAGTAAAATGTATAAATTTAACGTGAACGTTTTGAGCATTGTTATTTGGGATAGTAATCGACTCTAATATTTCTTTGATTAGAATTGATTAAAATATTTTCCTTCACAAACTTTCACCTAGTTTCTAAAACTCAACAGAGTAACTAAGAAATTATCACAATTTTAAAATTGTACAGCTTGTAACCGAACTTTTTACAATTTTCATAAGCCTTTTAAAGTGTTAAAAAATACATTTAGTATGGCCATTACCCTTAACATTTTTCTTAAAATTATGCATAATAATTTGAGTCAACTGCTTACTTAACTTAAATTATAGAAGGTAAAATAAAAAGTTTTTAACAATGTTATTATGAAAAAGTAGGAAAATGAAAAAAGATTATTATTTATATTGTTCCAGGAAGTTTCTAGGAATTGAGGAAAAATTAGGTAATATTATAAAATTATATTTCATTCGTAGCAAAATAGACTTACATCCCTTCGCAATAGTAATTAAATCTTTAAATAGACAAAATTTTATCTGACACAATTTTAATTATGTTCTCTGGCAATTTGAAAGTATAAATGTTTCTGGTCATAAGAATTATTTGAACTATTCGTCTCGTTTATGTTTCTGTTAATAATTATTACAAAAATTATTACAGTTCTATTCTATTAATAGTCCTATTCTATTAATAATAACTATTCTGTTAATAGTTATTACAAAAAGCTATATTAATTTTTAAAAAATACAATAATACAATACCAAATACAATTGATATTTTGAAAGTAAAAGCATCGTCCTCGGCATTACGATTCACTTTAATAACCAGCTGGGGAAATGTTAGGTGAATATATTTTGTTAAATTTTTTAAAAGGGTTTCTAGTTGTACGGTAGGTGATTCGGTTATTACTGCTTCTCTTGTTCTCGACAAATTGTCTCGAGGGGAGTTAATTTTCTTTTGGCGATGATATCAGTTCGATCACTGCAATATCTTTTTTGTCGACTACAGAATAAAATAAAACGCAAGTGACTTCGTTATAAAAAAATATGTCATGCATTCCTTATACAAAGCGATATTTTCAATTATACGTAATAAACAAGATAGCCTATAAATTAATTATTTCAGCTAATAATTTCGAGAAATTTGTTTAGTAACAAGTCGATAATTTAGCCTATAAATATAAATTAAAAACATAGACAATCTATTATTATACTAATATTTTATTAGGTAAAAAATTATCATTTAACAATTCATCGGCAAGGGAAGTAGATCAAATGACAAAAGAATCATCAAATTCAAATAAATATAATAAATTATTAAGTAAAGGACTAAAAGAAATAATACTTCATTTATACATTCATAAACTTTAAAATTTTAATAGAACTTACCTGATAATATTTTTTTTAAATTATAAGTTTTTTTAAAGTAACAAAAATATCTCTGTATTATGCAAATAACAACAGGTGATTTACTTCCCAAATAAAGAAAATTACTTTTCAATTTAAGTGAATTTAAATATAAATATATAATACATGATAATAATACATATATACAAACACTAACAGGAAAATTCAGAATAACTTCATTTTGTACACGATGAGTTATTGATGAACCTCTAACGCGTAGAATAATAAGAATATTAATTTTATAATAAGAAAACAAGTATACACGAATAATATATATGTATATCCATAATTAGATAGATAAATAAATTTCTTTCAACACAAATATATTTGAATAAGGTGTTAAATAATTTCTTAAAACAAACAAGATCTTTTCAAAAGAAATTATTCTTTATTTTTTATTTAAAAAGACAAACTGATAAAATTTTTTTTTTTTTTTTGTTTACCTAATCTCATCTATGGATACACAATATTTACATTCAATTTCATTGTTATGTATATATATATATATATATATATAATATTTTACTAATATACTTAATTTAGTTTTTATTATTACATGAGAAAATTGTTTAATTATGGACATACCCGTGCGTGTAATTAAGAAACAAATTTTTATTTCCAAATAATGAATAATTATTAATTTTACTACCAGCGATTTATGTGCATTAAAATAAAAAAATAAAAAAATTAACGATAACGTATATATTTAATACATATTTCGATAGTACTACGATCGAATTTAGTGTCTTTTAAATGTAATTAATTTTTATTATTTGTGGAGATGCAACATATTAATTAGATATTTAATTCTGATGCTCATATTACCATAAATAATATAAATAACAAAACCAGTTTGAATTTCCTTTATATTCAAATATTATAATGTACAAAAATACAAGATATTTGAAAAGAATATTAATGGAAATTATTTAAAAATCGATCTTTAATTTCATATCCATTGATTTCATTGTTTGCTCATTTATATGAAAACTTGCACACATTTCATTATTTTAAACCATTAATGTACTCGTAATATTAAAAAAAATTATTACGCAGATATCTTAGTACGTGGTTTGTAAAATATATTAAAAAAAACATTATGAAAAGATTTTTAGTATTCCCAACAATTGACGCAGTATTAACAATATTTTATAGTGTCATTTCAGAAAGTCCATCAATTTTTTAACATATTTTTCGAATAACATATATTCTTGTAAATCTGTAAACTATATTCAATCGTATCAATTATTCATTCCAATAAAATCTTCAATAGACCATCTCGATCTAAATAAATAAGCTTTATTAGTTTAAATTATTATTTGTTTTTTTCTATTGCTGTATTATTACCATTCAGAATAGAATTTCCAGCTTAATATTTCAATAAAATTGTATATTTCTGTATTCAAATAATTTATGAAAGTTATTAGACAGCGAAAACAACGCAATGGTAAATTGAAGCTACACCAAAGCTACTAACTACTTTCACCGCGAGTCACGGAAGTTAATTGAATTCGAATTTACGAATTTAAAATCGTGAATCCTCGTTTCGTCAGTTATCGTAAAAATATTAGGAATAACTGATTTTCATCAGCCCCGCGTTGCCAAAATAAGAGAGTGAATTTTCAAGTTGACAAAATCAATCAAGTTGCTATAATTTTTTGGAAAATGTAAGGCGATCGTATTGTGAATGAAGATAGATCAATTCCTTCGGCATCGGTGTGTCCGTTAAATGCACCTCTTCGACAATTCTTTCCGATCGACTCATTTTCAAGTCATTTTAGTAGAGGACCCATTCGAGATTTATCGATAACTCTCCGCGGATGCTGACGAACCGATAAAGAAGAGAGGAAAAATAGACGGCAATTAATATTAAGCAAACTGTAAATTTAACGATAATCCATGTATTTTCCATGAGCACAGGCATATTATTGTGTCTATTATGGGATAATATTTTTTGAAAAATTGCATCGTTTGAACGATTATACATTAAAGAGGGCCAATTCCTTGCTTTCTCTTCAAATCAGCCATTATCTTGCGAAATATATATTTTTCACAAGTTAATGATTAGTTTATATCACTGCTTAGAAGTTTCGAAATACTTCGTTCCTTTATTCTTTTGCCAACGACATAAGGATAATCGAAATGGTAACCAAGAAAAATTGTTGGATTCGAGCTTTCAGTTTTGTCTCAATCAACAACCGCAACGATAGTAAACAAAATGAAATTTGGTAATAAGAGTTTTCTCTTTATTCAAATAAATATTTATTCCAATGAAACAACTACTTCAAAACCTAATTACATGTCAGTGTATTACGCAATTAAATTATACTCCACGAAAATATCAAATATTTGCAAGAATTATCTGAATAATTAAAATGGATGTTATTTTCCTTGAATAATGTGTAAAAAAAAAAAAATAAATAAATAAATATATTAATAAACATTTAGAAAATTTTGAACATAAATCAGCGTAAACGTGTTATAAAAACAGTACTTTGTTTTGCTAAAATTACATTAAGTAGCCGTGCATATGGCTAACTCAAAATTAAAAATATTTCTGCGTAATCGTAATAG